ACTGGCTGCATCACTGTTGTAATTGCTATTTAAATGCCAGGGTTTCTCGCATGAAATAAAACATTATAGAGTACCACCAGACCTTCAATATTCAGATTTGTAAGCAGGCTGTGAAATTCAAAGGTCACTAATTTATGGAATGTGACATTTCCAGTAGTGCTTTACGCATTTTGCTTATTACTGCTGGTCTATTACAACTGGAAATAATGCAGAAAAAAGTAACTGCATTTGTGGCAACAATATGTGGATGTGGAAGTTAGGCTTTGATTCATTAACTTGATTTGAAGACTCTGATACAGCATGTCTAGTTATAGAATTATATTTAGATATCTATTTACAGTATTTGTGAATGTGTCGTTGTTGTTTTTTTTTTTTTTTTTCAGAGTAAAAAATGCCTGAATAGGTTCTTTCCTTTTCCCTCTTTTCAGAGTTTTGACAACTACAAGCAGACAGTTGAAGAGTATGACCAGGCAGCAGCGAAAACTGAAGCTCATATCCGGTAATTTCTGTGAATTAATTTTAAAATGCTTTGTTTGTTGAAGCAACCATTCACTAAATTGGTAAACCATGTCCTTTCTGCCTTATTACGGTTCTGAGTCTGTTTGGCTAGATCACTTATCTTATCTTATCTTATCTTATCTTATCTTATCTTATCTTATCTTATCTTATCTTATCTTATCTTATCATGGGTTTTTAGTCAAACATTGTGTTGCATTATGTGGAGATTTTCTTGGTGATTTCTGTAAAAAAAAATCATAGATTTTTCACAGATGGGAATCACAGATGAGATCGGTTTAACAGGTGACTGAAAGGAGATGTGGTCATAAAGRAGGAGTGTGGAAACTACATATTTGCAGTTTTAATTTGCTGTTATTTATAATGYCACACATTCTGCAGCTGTTAGGTAAAATTGTTTAATTCACACTGTGTTGTGACTGGGTGTTAATTTACTATTATCACTTCTTATTTCTTCMATTATTATATTGTGACACAATTTTCAAATTTGCTTGAGTCTGTTGTTCTCTTTGTGCAAATGGTTAGTTCAATTTTTGTGAAATGTGTCACAACAAACGAGCCAAAAGAATGGTAAATCAGTGTTTCACGTTCAATGTGTTTTTGTTGTAGTTTATGTACAAAAATAATTAAAWGATTGGATTAACCAAAGAGACCCTGGGGCTGACCCAGAACTCGCTGGAAGGATTGTGTATCTCRTCTGGCCTGGGAATGCTTRGGGGTCCACCAGGAGGAGCTGGAGAGTGTCACTGGGTAGAGAAAGGTCTGGGTTTCTCTCCTGGACCTGTTTACTGTCTATGGAGAAGTGGTAGAAGATGGAGATTAAGTTGGAGAAAAAAACGTTTTATAAAAAAAATGCTGTTTTTTGTTTTGAATGAACAAATATGTTGAGCACTTTTCTTGTTTAGGATGAATTCTTAAAAGGATGCACCAACAGTTTTTATCGTTTAGGCAGCTCTCCRCCTGTAGATTGTACCCTCTGAATCACTGCACTTTGTCCCAACTCTGCTCTATAAGTCATAAGTGAGTCCAGGTTTGTTATTCATCCAGGTTTATGGCAGTAATTRTTAGCACATAATTGATTCTTTTGGTTTCAGTAGAATGCTTTGCACTTTCCCTACTGTTAAATCACCAATAGACAGAATTAGTTCCTCTCTCACAGTAGTCAGTTTTCTTTCAGAGACAGCCCTATCTTCTCCCACACATGCATCACCATTACCAGTGGTCTGGCTTTGGGCATTAGTGACTASAGCCAAAGAATCAAAATGATACCAATGTTTTCTACCACTGTAATGTCCACTTCAGGGGACTCTGGACGGAAAATACCCCACCTGAAGCAGCCCTTTGTGGCAGATGCTTTGTGATGCTGTGTTTCTTCCTTTTCTTTTTGTTTCTTCTGAAAAACTTCAAACCATYTAGAAATGTGAGATTCATATAAATTTCATAATCACACATCTTGTTTACCTCAAAATACTTCAGGAGAAAACGGATGAGTTTAGTTGTTCAGAAACAGGAGTTTCCAACTAATGTTCCAACTAACATCGTTCTGGTAAAAACCGAAAGGGATAAAGTAATACAGATGTTTTGCTGCTTCTAAATAACATTTTAATATTTTTTTATTTTTAATTAATAATTTTTTTCTCCTATAAAACATTTGCAGCATTAGGTCCTCACTATGGGATTGAAACTGTGGGTTAAATTCTGTAAAAAAAAAGCTTTAATAGTTCGTTTATTATCTTCTTTGTAGCACAGGAAACATTGGAACATTCTTTATGAAAAGAGAAGAGGTCATTTTATCCCCTATTTCTRTGCAGCTTTGTTTTACTCATCAACATTCATGTAACTACTGGACTGTAAATGTTAGCAGAATAGTTAAGAGATTTGTCAAAAATGTTTAAGATTTGTAGCTTTTTCTTCTTTTAATTAACCAATAGCATGCATATATTTCTTTATATGTAAGCGCTTCATTAACTCATTGTACCAAGTTTTGTTACTTTGTGATATTTTAAAAAAGAGGTCAAGGGAATGAGTTAAGATAAAAAAGGCAATGAAAATTATTTCAACTGGTATTAAAAACTGAGTCAATACGCAAAATAAGATAGTTCTTTTTTTCATATATGACGTGAAGTGTAAATTGTGAACATGTCAGGATCATTCAAATTCTACAAACTATGACAGATCACTTGAATGATGATTTGTCATTTTGGTTATTTGGAGGAAGGATTTTCTCCTGGAAATGCCAAATAATGTTATTAGATTTGTACAAAAATATTTGAGTTGCTTTCAGTTCATTCATTTTATTTATTTATTTTCTTTGACACTGGCATCCTTACCCTTCTCTTATATTGATACAATTCACTGTTGTTATTTGTAGGCTCACTCAGTTGTCATAGTAATAAGTAAACAAAAACCTGGCTTAGGTGGCAATCTTTTTTAAGAAACAAAGGTGTGATTTTTGCAGGAAGTGAAGGAGCTCCTGTGGGGGGAAAATGACTTCAGACATCACCTTTTTTCAGGAAGCATATCCGTTCTAGCTGCTGCTGCTCTGACACAGAGTATGAAAGCTGCAAATTTATGCTGCTCCATTACATTAGTTTTCACCTTTTTTTATCATTCAGTCAGAAGGTCTTTGGGTTTCATTAGCACATGTCTTTTTTCCTCAAGCAGTGTTAAATCTATCACAATTAATGAAACTCACAAAGAATCTAGTCAAAAGGAAACCGAACATTCATGTGTCTCTCTGCAGAACGACTTTAATATAGTTTAAAGTTCTTCTGGTATTGATATATTTTTAGAATAGCTAACACTTTGTTTAAGTGTACCTTAAATACAAATATCGGACATGTCATCAGTTAAAGTACTCTTCAGTTTTAAATAGAACAACATCGCATTGTCTTTACTATTATCACTTTGTTTTTCCAATGAAAACACTGATCAATTCTTCTCCAGAAAGTTAGACACATGGCAAAAGTTCTACCTTCTAAATTATTTATATTCACACAGAGGAACATCATAAACGCTTTATTTTTTAAAACCCAAATATGAACATTTCAGATGAAAAAATTCCTTACTCAGCAGTATACACATGTAGGATTTGACCCTACACCTCTTATAACAAGGTTATAAGAATATTATTTTAGCAAGGATCCTTCTTATTTTATAATTCTTCTTATTTTATTTTCGGTAAACATTCTTCCTGTGCAAAGTGAATGGACAACACAATGAGTGACTGAGTCATTGAATTTAAATTCGATCCATCAATAAATGCGATCATTTATTTTACTTAACCAAACAAAATCACTACAGTACACTTAATTGTGAGCAATCAGTTTCCTATAGAAGTTTAGAACCAACATAACAAGTATGCTTCGAGCTTTGTTAATTGTCAGTCAAGCACTTAAATAGAACACAAACATCAAGCTTAATAAACAAAACCGTCTCAAACATTAATGTGTGTGTGCGTATATATATATA